ATGGAAAAAACATACTCACTCAGTCATATTCAACAGACTCTACGAATACAACCAGACACCTGTAATTTACCATCGGACGCTCCTTAATGGTATACTCATGCTGCGGTGGTGCGACATCAACGTTTCACTCCAAATACTGTATATGGAGTCATGATAAAAGAAATGACGTCTACCGGCGATGGCGTCATAAACTTTGGCAAATGCACTGTACAATAAACCGTCCAGAAAGTTTCCAGGACTGAAGCCATTTTGATATAATTCAGCACATATATGCACGATTACATAAAACAAAATTTGAGCATATATTTTACTTACAGCTAAAAACAAACATTGATATTTTTCTTTCGACTGTTAAGGTATTGTGCTTATGAATTTGATTGATAGTTGTTTAAGGGTGATGAAACATGTTTCAGGTATGATTTGCTAAGTAATCAATACGACTTGGATAATACTTCTCTGAGTGGCATTTTAGAAGTTGGGACAATATACAATATTGAAAAACATTATGGATAACAACTTCAATTTTCATGAGTGCGACATTTCGATACAGATTCTTGTACCATTGTAAAACGGAAATGACAACCGTGCAAGCATATGTGTCGAAACGTCGGACTCACGAAATAAAGAAAGTTGTTATCCATAGAGTTTGTTCAATATTGGATATACTACAGGAATCTATGGAATCCGAGAAGGGACATTGTCGCGTTGTCGCATTGTCGCCCTCTCAAAAACAAGTAAAATGAGGCAAAATAAACCAAAACGCGACACGCAACATCGCGACAACGCGACATTTCGCCCATTTGTCGCATTGTCGCGATGTCGCCTGTCGCGATTTGAATAAAAAAAATTGTATTACTCCAAAGGGCGACACGCGACATAGCGACAATTTTCAAGGTCAAAATATGTCGCGTTCTCGCATTGTCGCCCTATCTAAGATGTGTAAAAAAAAGCCTAAAAATTGACTAAAACGCGACACGCGACAATGCGACATATTGAATATTGAATATGTCGCATTGTCGCCCTTTTCGATTACCGGTGCGCGTGCGTAGAAAGTCAATTACACTACGCATGCGCAGCAAAAGTTATACTCTATTTCACACTTCAGTGGTCTTTTGTTACCTTCAATGGTTTTTAAAATGAAGTTGTATTCGTAATGGTAGTGGGGGCTGCTTTTCTTGAATTTAATGGAAATCTTTCATTGTTGCTTTGAAAATTATTTTATATATTGTAAATGTATTTAGCCAATCAAGTGTGCTTTAGCAGCAACACAAATTATAAGCGCTACTATTCATTGTAATGACGACACTAGGTGGCCCTGTCGTTCAAGGCGGGCAATTTGCTGTGCAGAGTTGTGTCTCTTAGTCACACCAGAAAACTATGATCATAGGTTCGAATCCCAGCACCATACACATTTATCACTTTGGAACCCGTGAAGGTCCGGGTTAGAATGTGCCTTCAGTTACCCATGCTTGTCGTAAGAGGCCACTAACGGAATCGGGTGGTCAGGCTCGCTGACTTGGTTGACACATGTCATCGCTTCCCAATTGTGCAGATCGATGCTCATGCTGTTGATCACTGGATTGTCTGGTCCAGACTCGATTATTTACACACCGCCGCCATATAGCTGGAATATTGCTGAGTGCGGCGTAAAACTAAACTCACTCACCCACTCACTTTGGACATTTCACCGATATCAAGCTCACAGGTTGAGAAAAAACTGAAATATTGTTAAAATTCAGGCCACATCGGCAGAAATATCAGATAATGTCCTCGATTGCGTCACTATGTTCGACAGTTTGACTCCTGACAGAGTTTCTTGGTATAGTCCTGTCCGACGCTGATGAATTTTTACCTTTATCAACGATTGTTGATATCATTGATATCAGAGGACACGAGGGTGAGACTCCATTTATCATCAAAAAGTCATTCATCATTAGTTTCCAATGAAAACTGTACATCTCTCAACACTGTACTACCATTAGTGCATTAGGAGCGATGTCATAGCATTGTGACGTCATCAAGTTGATGACGTCATAGCATTGTCAGGGCATTATACAAAATCTACTGTCAAAACGATATCTCCTAGGAGATATCATATGATCTCACACAAGCGATATCTCCTGTGGAACATAGGCCCTCACTGCGGGTCAGAAAATCGATAAACTAGGCCCCGGTTTAGTATCCACACCCCCTTCTATATAACCATCAAAGAAATATCATGACATGATCGAAAACCGGACAATTACTCACATGTCAATGAATGTATCGTATTTTAAAGGTCTCACAAGTATCAAAAGCTTTTGTCCATATGTCCGATGTATGTAGGAGGCATGTACATGCGCTTTCCGTGGGGATGCATTTGATGGTTTATATTAAATCGCCAAAGACCTAGTTTTGTATACTTGCGGCACAGCAACTCGGTCTTTGGCGATTTAATAAAAACCATCAAATGCATCCCCACGGAAAGCGCACGTACATACCTCCTACATACATCGGAGATATGGACAAAAGCTTTTGATACTTGTGAGACCTTGAACATACGATATATCCATTGACGTGTGAGTAATTGTCCGGTTTTCGATCATGTCATCGTATTTCTTTGATGAACCTTTACATATTATATAGTAGGGGGTGTGGATACTAAACCGGGGCCTAGTTTATCGATTTTCTGACCCGCAGTGGGGGCCTATGCTGTGGAACACAGTTTTGGATGATAAACATGATTACAGTCACTGCATGATGACTTCCTCTGATTAATATAAACGGAAACTTCTTGTTCTTCAATAACAAAATACGCAAACAAACATTCTGAGACACGTAGGAAAATACATACCCAGTCTTTTCTTTATGTCAAAAAAACAACTTTGCACCATGTTCACAGAGGATGGTACTTAAGAACGTTGTTAGTACATATAATATATTATTGACATGTTTCCTATTCTCTATAACTAAACGTTGGAACACAAGCAAATAGTACGTCTTGAATAGAAGTGGGAAATTTAATGAATACCATTAGCTCTGATAACAAATAACACCTATAAAACAGAAACGGCGACTTTACGTAATCAGTTATTTCCCTGTGTAGATTTGGTAAATTGGCATCACAATATTATTTCACATAATATTGATATTAAAGTATTAGCAATACAGTCATTACATAAATTCAGTAAATAACTTTTCTTTCATTCGCATGTCTCGTTTTATATATCGAATGCATAAATACCTTTGTATTCACTTTTCAGTTACGGAAGTTAAAATGGTTAAACAATTGAAACCAAATGTGTAATACTAGGCTATGCTTTTTGTTTCATGTTTCGTGTGCGTGAGTGCGTCTGTGTGTAAAACAACTGTATTTTTCATGTGAAGTACTAACACGTTCACGTTTTGTAATTGCAACATTAAACATTCGAGTAGGCAGATTCGGAGCTTAGGGAGAATTGTAATGCCAATTATAATCTAAATACCATTTTTTTTTCTTGTTGTTGCTAAATGATGTACTTCCATTTTCTTTTGATTAAAATGATTCCTAATATATATCTCAGAACGTCCGTAGAAAGTTATTCAATCATAACGTTGTGTTCCAGACATCGCCTTCTTTCTGCTTCTGTCCAACCTGACTGTTCTCTTGTTGCTCTGTCTGTGAGAATGAAAATATATAAATTCATTTTATTTAGATTCTACACGCTTCATCACGAATGATGAGTGACAAATATTCACAAAAATATCAATGCATTCTTATGACACACGACTAAACGTGCCTGGACATCATCCTGTTTTTGCATACCGTTATTCATTTATAAACACCGCCGCCATATAGCTGGAATATTGCTGAGTGCGGCGTAAAACTAAACTCACTCACCCACTCACTTTGGACATTTCACCGATATCAAGCTCACAGGTTGAGAAAAAACTGAAATATTGTTAAAATTCAGGCCACATCGGCAGAAATATCAGATAATGTCCTCGATTGGGTCACTATGTTCGACAGTTTGACTCCTGACAGAGTTTCTTGGTATAGTCCTGTCCGACGCTGATGAATTTTACCTTTATCAACGATTGTTGATATCATTGATATCAGAGGACACGAGGGTGAGACTCCATTTATCATCAAAAAGTCATTCATCATTTGTTTCCAATGAAAACTGTACATCTCAACACTGTACTACCATTAGTGCATTAGGAGCGATGTCATAGCATTGTGACGTCATCAAGTTGATGACGTCATAGCATTGTCAGGGCATTATACAAAATCTACTGTCAAAACGATATCTCCTAGGAGATATCATATGATCTCACACAAGCGATATCTCCTGTGGAATATAGGCCCCATGCGGGTCCGAAAATCGATAAACTAGAGCTTCCGGTTTAGATCCCCCTCTCATATAATATGAAAGGTTCATCAAAGAAATACTTTGACATGATCGAAAACCGGACAATTACTCACATGTCAATGAATGTATCGTATTTTAAAGGTCTCACAAGTATCAAAAGCTTTTGTCCATATGTCCGATGTATGTAGGAGGCATGTACGTGCGCTTTCCGTGGGGATGCATTTGGTGGTTTATATTAAATCGCCAAAGACCTAGTTTTGTATACTTGCGGCACAGCAACTCGGTCTTTGGCGATTTAATAAAAACCATCAAATGCATCCCCACGGAAAGCGCACGTACATACCTCCTACATACATCGGAGATATGGACAAAAGCTTTTGATACTTGTGAGACCTTGAACATACGATATATCCATTGACGTGTGAGTAATTGTCCGGTTTTCGATCATGTCATCGTATTTCTTTGATGAACCTTTACATATTATATAGTAGGGGGTGTGGATACTAAACCGGGGCCTAGTTTATCGATTTTCTGACCCGCAGTGGGGGCCTATGCTGTGGAACACAGTTTTGGATGATAAACATGATTACAGTCACTGCATGATGACTTCCTCTGATTAATATAAACGGAAACTTCTTGTTCTTCAATAACAAAATACGCAAACAAACATTCTGAGACACGTAGGAAAATACATACCCAGTCTTTTCTTTATGTCAAAAAACAACTTTGCACCGAGTTCACAGAGGATGGTACTTAAGAACGTTGTTAGTACATATAATATATTATTGACATGTTTCCTATTCTCTATAACTAAACGTTGGAACACAAGCAAATAGTACGTCTTGAATAGAAGTGGGAAATTTAATGAATACCATTAGCTCTGATAACAAAATAACACCTATAAAACAGAAACGGCGACTTTACGTAATCAGTTATTGCCCTGTGTAGATTTGGTAAATTGGCATCACAATATTATTTCACATAATATTGATATTAAAGTATTAGCAATACAGTCATTACATAAATTCAGTAAATAACTTTTCTTTCATTGGCATGTCTCGTTTTATATATCGAATGCCTAAATACCTTAGTATTCACTTTTCAGTTACAGAAGTTAAAATGGTTAAACAATTCAAACCAAATGTGTAATACTAGGCTTATGCTTTTTGCTTCATGTTTCGTGTGCGTGAGTGCGTCTGTGTGTAAAACAACTGTATTTTTCATGTAAAGTACTTACACGTTCACGTTTTGTAATTGCAACATTAATCCTTCGAGTAGGCAGATTCGGAGCTTAGGGAGAATTGTAATGCCAATTATAATCTAAATACCATTTTTTTTTCTTGTTTTTGCTAAATGATGTACTTCCATTTTCTTTTGATTAAAATGATTCCTAATATATATCTCAGAACGTCCGTAGAAAGTTATTCAATCATAACGTTGTGCTCCAGACATCGCCTTCTTTCTGCTTCTGTCCAACATGACTGTTCTCTTGTTGCTCTGTCTGTGAGAATGAAAAAGGTATAAATTCATTTTATTTAGATTCTACACGCTTCATCACGAATGATCAGTGACAAATATTCACAAAAATATCAATGCATTCTTATGACACACGACTAAACGTGCCTGGACATCATCCTGTTTTTGCATACTGTTATTCATTTATAAAACACATAGGCTGATCGGGGCAGGGCTGCGCACACCCACAACCACCCACCCCCCTTTGTGCTGAAAGTTTGTTAAATGACCATTGAAACTCGGGTAAAAATGAAATGTGCACCCCCCCCTTTCTCAAAAACCTGTATCCGCCCCTGAAACACCCCTTTGTAGAGATGAGGTTGCATGACATTATTACTTACATTAATACATCAGAACATCTTCCTTAAATGCCGTTAATATGTGAAGGCGTGTATAAACAATAACTTCAACTACATTTGCTTTTTTTTATCTGCAACCACGTTTTAGCATAGTGTGCAATTATCCCATTAGTGTACAAAAGTAGGTCGTCAGCGCAATCAAATTGGTTAATAAAATGACAACAAATGCACTAGGGCAAATGAGAGGGAAACTCAAACGTTTTTGATCCAAGATGGCACGATCTAATGTTTTATCTTGGTAAGAATAATTTTGAAAACGAATAAAAATATTTTTTTTAAAAAAACACATTCACTCAGTGTAATGTGTTAGAGCCAATCAGACCGCCGGAGTTAGTGAAGTCAAGAGCTGACGACCTACTTTTGTATATTTCCGGCACAGCAACTCGGTCTTTGGCGATTTAATAAAAAGCATCAAATGCATCCCCACGGAAAGCGGACGTATATGCCTCCTACATACATCGGAGATATGGACAAATGCTTTTGATACTTGTGAGACCTTTAAAATATGATATCTTCATTGACTTGTGAGTAATTGTCCGGTTTTCGATCATGTCACCGTATTTCTGTGATGAACCTTTACATGTTATAAAGGTAGGGGGTGTGGATACTAAACTGGGGCCTAGTTTATCGATTTTCTGACCTGCAGTGGGGGCCTATGGCGTGACGGGCGGTTGTTTTAACGACTAGGCTACCCCGCTTGAGATGCAGGCATTATTTCACACCTTGTCAAAAAAAATTCAAATTCTAACTAGAAATGTAACTGAACAACTCTCAAAAAAAGAAAGAATTTGAAAAAAACCAAAAACGCCAAATATGACATAATGTAAATAGTTCCTTATAAACACAGAAAGACGGTCACAACCTTCTCGAAAGACAATCCCTTGTCGAAAGTGGAGTAACGTCTGTCAAAACCTGTCATGCATTTCAGAATTTAAATATAACATAGCAACCAACCAAGAGATCGAGAATGTAAAGAACTACATCACCAAATGTGACATGAAATAAATAGGGTGTATACAAATATAGAAATGTAATGTACTTTTTATCCATTTACACAATAATTCCGTGGTTCAATTACCTGTAAGTCCAAGAGAAGACTTTCTCAAAACCGAATACCTAGCTTGTTTGAGTGGCATTTTAGAAGTTGAGACGTACAATATGGAACAAGTTTTTATGGATAACAACTTCTTTATTTCGTGAGTGCGACGTTTCGATACAGATTCTTGTACCGTTGTCAAGCAAGAGTGATACATGAAGTGGAGGAGCTGCATATTTATACTGTGTATAACAATGAAACTACATACATTGTAATTGACAAAGGAAACAACATAATTGCCATAATTGGTTAAGCAGTAAGCTGATGAAGCCAGTGAGTACACAAGGGATAGTGAATGGAAGCCAGAGATGTATAAATACAGGAGTGGTACAATAACGGGGATGTTTATACAATAGGTGCGATGTTTATACAATAGAATAGGTGCGTATGTTCTTTGACTCGGGTGTTGATGGGTCGGGATGTTTCACCTACGTAGCTTTGTCCACAATCACAGTTTATTTTATAAATAACACATTTCGGGTTGTTGTTGTTGACGACGGTGGGTTGTTTTCTTCCGTTGGCATGGAGGAGGTTGTTGAGGCTGGAGCACGCTGAGAAGGTTCCACCAGCTTATGATCCACTCCTCCACCAATCCCAATCTATTGTATAAACATCGCACCTATTGTATAAACATCCCCTTTATTATACCACTCCTGTATTTATACATCTCTGGCTTCCATTCACTATCCCTTGTGTACTCACTGGCTTCATCAGCTTACTGCTTAACCAATTATGGCAATGATGTTGTTTCCTTTGTCAATTACAATGTATGTAGTTTCATTGTTATACACAGTATAAATATTCAGCTCCTCCACTTCATGTATCACTCTTGCTTGACAACGGTACAAGAATCTGTATCGAAACGTCGCACTCACGAAATAAAGAAGTTGTTATCCATAAAAACTTGTTCCATATTCCCACTTTTAAGAGAACCTTCACAACTAGAATACGAATGTTTATGGAAGAACACATTTTTAACATCCTATATTTCCTTCATAAGTTATCTGATGCAGTCGCTGCATCGAGTATATTTGCAGCTTGAACACGAACATTTGCAATCTTATAACTAGAACTGGAGAGGTTTCTTTCAGGGCAGAATATTAGATTCCTATTTTTCTAACATTCACTCCCCGTGATACATACTTTCTCCGAGTTCTTGATTCTCCACAATGGTCGTACAAAGGGAAACAGGAACCTCTCATCCTTGATGCGCGGGTACATCCTGCCTGGAACAGTCACAGAAACAACAAAAATGGTGAGTTAACATTTACGTTGAATTGGCGTTATGTCAGCCATCTAGCGACAAACAATAGAACATTTAGTGCCTTAACGTTTTAAGTCGAATTGGCCTTTTTCAATCTTATAGCGACAAACAATAGAAGATCTAGTTAACATTTAATATTTTAACGTTGAATCGGCATTGTTTCACCTATTCAGAGACAAGCTGTGGAAGGATAAATTAACATTTAACGTCGGATTGGCGTTATTTCAGCAGTATAGCGACAAACAATAGAAGCATTAGTTAACATTTAACGTCGAATTGGCGTTATTTCAGCCGTATAGCGACAAACAATAGAAGAATTAGTTAACATTTAAAGTCGAATTGGCGTTATTTCAGCCGTATAGCGACAAACAATAGAAGAGTTAATTAACATTTAACGTCGGATTGGCGTTATTTCAGCCGTATAGCGACACACAGTAGAAGAGTTAGTTAACATTTAACGTCGAATTTCAGCCATGAAGTGACAAACAATAGTCCAGTGCACCCAGATAATCATATCAATGAATATTATCAGGTCAGGGTCAGGGTTAACCCTTGCCTCTGATTCATGTATACATTTAGAACATGTTGCCACGTTTCCGCATCTGATACTTGCAGATTAGAATGCGTATATATAAGTTGCATTAGGGGCGGTGAGGTAGCCTAGTGGTTAAAGCGTTGGCTCGTCACGCTGAAGACCCGGTGTAGCAGCCCAGAATAACCCCCCCACCAGATTATACCCCGGGGTTAACTATAGGCTAGCCCAGTTTATACCCCGGGGGTATATTCTGGACCAGGCCAAAGTATACCCCTCCAGCCCAGACTATGCCCCTAAAAAAATATGTTGACAAATCACTCAATATGAGTGTGTGACTCGGGCAATGGTCTTGGTGTCATTTAAAGGAATTTGTAGGTGCATTTCATTTACATTACTGCATAATACAAAATTTATTAAGTATTTGTTGAGTGCCTCTCTGCAATATGATATTTTCGACTTTGCGTGTTTAATTGTGTGAGAAGTACAATAAAATTATAGTAGTATCCTTAATCACTTGTTTTCTGTAGGGGTATAATCTGGGCTAGGGGGGTATACTATGGCCTAGTTCAGAATATACCCCGGGGTATAAACTAGGCTAGCCCAGATTATACCTTGGATATAGTCTGGGCTAGCCCAGTTTAACCCCGGGTATAGTCTGGGACAGGGGCATACTCTGGCCTGTTACACCGGGTTCGATTCCCCACATGGGTACAATGTATGAAGCCCATTTCTGGTTCCCCCGCCGTGATATTGCAGGAATATTGCTGAAAGCGACGTAAAACCATACTCACGTCCTCACTTTCTCACTATAACCTACATTAGACATGTGAGTGAGTTTGATTCAAGGCCCCTTTGAAGGCTTTATATAACAGTGAGTGAGGGCGTGGGAGGAAATCGTTTGTCACAAGTGATGTACATGCATGTCGTACGCAGTTATCACTTTGATCAATTACACGAGCAAGGATGACAGCGGATCAAAACGGGTAAAACATGTTCTGCTACATGCAACTCTATATTGAGAATTGGTGGACCCGACAAAAACCGCCCCTGTTTCTTCCACACAAGATGTAGATACTGTTTGAATCTATGTTGACAGGTACCCGTGAAGATCCGGGTTAGAATCGGTCTTCAGCAACCCATGCTTGTCGTAAGTGGTGGGGTCAGGCTCGCTGACTTGGTTGACAAATGTCAGCGCATAAGAGTGCGGCGTTGAACAACAAATAAACAAACAAACTATGTTGACAGATGCCAATGCTGCCGTATCTATACTCTAGGACTTACATGTCACAAGGCTAACAATCGACCCCACAAACACGGCTATCAACCATCCAATCAGCCCATAATCTTGGTAAGAGATATCGAACACAGTGCCTTTAGGGTCGGCGGTGGTGACGTCGCTACAGAAAAGAAAGAGAATTGCGAAAAAATACAATTATCTGTACGCTCAAAAGACTTAAGTATTACTAACCAACTTAAAAATGGTTTCCCTGTCTTCGAAAGTTCTTACGTGAACTGAAGTGGATCAGGTGCCGATGAATTAAAACCTTCAAAATTGGATTAATATGTAATTCAGAAAGCTTCTTTGAACATTAGCTCAAGATCGCTCTCGGAATGTCCCTCGACTTCATCTTATGGCTGGGATGCGAGATGATGCAACACATCATTGTTTACTCTACTCTACCGCTGTCTTGTGGGAGGGAGGGGGCTACCGTGTGTGTGTGTATGTGTTATTCACTATGAGGTTATGTGAAATGATAGCGACACGATCAAGCTTGCATTTATATAGCGACATGCATGCACCGGAGCGTATGTGAGTTTGTGTGCGTGCCCTTCGCAGTGGTTTGGGTACACTTACGACCGCTTCAAATACTGTCGGGGCATTCCATACCAAACCGGCAAGGGGTGCAGCAAAACAGCGGAACACGCAGTATGATATCTTCTTGAAAATAGTACGCACTGCCTTTTAACACGTCATTTTAGCATTTTTCCGCAAACACCAAGACATTGCCGTGAGTGCTTAACGCCAGATTACCCGTGTGAAGAAATCCGTTACCAGTACTAAATTGCACAATATCGTCATGTTGCTACATTGTATGGTTATCAAAAAATGTTCTTGGTCTAGTATTTGTGCTTCATTAACGTTACTCAAAATTTCTTTCAAAATATTTTCATACCTTTGGCGAAAAATACCCACCAATGACTAAACATTGTTATTGGTCAGATTACTCTATCAAGGAAATGAACTTTGTGTATTTAGATACATCATTAACGCCACCCTTCTATCCTTATAAGTGTATTTATTGTTTAAGCGATCACAACAGCAGTAGCCTCGATGGTGATTGGTCAAATTGTTCCATACCTAAAAATACCCACCAATGACTAAGAAGCATGCTCAGTTTCAGTAAAACATAATTATCAAAAGCAATTGTTGTAATTCTTCCTTTCATAGCATCAAAGCTCATTAATGTCTTCTCATTAATTGGGACCGCATCCATGGTGTAGTGGTTAGAGCGTCCGCCCGGAGAGCGGAAGGTCGCGGGTTCGATCCCCGACCGCGTCATACCCAAAAACGTTAAAATATGATACTTGTTGGTCCGTGCCTGGCGCTCGGCATTAATGGGTACAACAAGGACTGGTAGGCTCGGAGTCAGTATAATGTGTCTGGGGTGGGGTATTCATGCTTCACTGCTGCATGGTATCTCAGTGGGATAGCACTATAAAACCAGCTTCAGTGTACAAGCAGCCGCACATACACATACACACGCATGTATATGAGCAAAATATTCTCAAGTACGACGTTAAACCCAATTTCACCTCACCTCATTAATTGGGTATATCTTTAAATATTCACCGGTACGTCAAAAAGGTTTACTCGGCTGATTGCTCAAATCAATGTTTGCCTTAGTTTAGGAGACTACAAGATAAACTGTACCTATAAAAGCAGAACAGAAAATACAGTTTAAATGTTTCCTTATGTAATGCCTGGGTTTTTTCTATTCTATTTTGTATTGACGAAGCTTGTTATCATTTGCTTTGGACAATTTCATCTTTGCGGTAGTGACCATACCTTACCTTGACGACAAGGTGCTTGTGATGGTTGGTGTTGTCGTCGTGTATGGTGAAGTCATGTTACCAGGGATGAGGTTGTCACATGAGTTTCCAGGGGCTGGGGGGTAGCTTCACGGGTGGGTGGCCGTACAATGTTGCCCCGACAGTCAACCATATATTCAGGGCTAGGGCCACGAGCACTCCAACAATGGCTCCCTGAAGGTTATAAATATGTGTTTCTTACAGCAACAAAAAGCCCTCAAAAGTGATTGGTTGGTTGTTTTTTTGTTTAACGCCGCACTAAGCAATATTCCAGCTATATAGCGGAGGCCTGTGAATAATCGTGTTTGGACCAGACAAGCCAGTGATCAACAGCATGATCATCGATCTACGCAATTGGGATACGATGACATGTGTCATCCATGTCAGCGGGCGTGACCACCCGATCCCGAGTGATCGCCTCTTACGACATGCATGGGATGCTGAAGACCAATTCTAACCCGGATGTTCACGGGTCTGGGGATAAAGAATATTTTGTTCTTCACATTGATCTAACGAAAACATACATAAACTATCCATATACTAGCATGCTTGTATCACCAACTGCCTGACTGTTTCCACGGTTTGATGTACCTCAGTAATGTTGCCACTGGAAATAGAGTGGTGCTGTTGATTTATGCCAATAGGTTCTTGAATACCCACAAAGTGGAAGGAGAGTATTGAACGTTTTTGTAGTTCTGCTACGGAGTGTTGCACTACCACCAATTTCAGTCAAAGTCAAAGTTGTTGCCATTGAAAAGCAAAAACACCAATTTCCTAAGAGATCCAAAACTACCAAAAGGCACCAGTTCACCACCAGATCTATCTATGTGCCAAGTTTGGTGAAGTAACATTGAGCGGTTTTTACGTTCTGCTCCGGAAAATACGCATTTGCACGGACGGACGCACGGTCGGACGGAAGGAATCCAAAATCATACCCTCCGCAAAACGCGTCGCGGGGGATAATGACCAGTCTTTTCAGTAGTCACCTTTAGCTTAAGTTCAGCTGTATTCCCACAGCACTAGCCTTTCTTGTCTATATTCCGTCTTCGATTCCCCACATGGGTACAATGTGTGAAGCCCATTTCTGGTGTCTTCCGCCGTGATATTGCTGGAATATTGCTAAAAGCGGCGTAAAAACCATACTCACTCACTAACTATATTCAGTCATGAGGTAAAATCAGACAAACGTCTTTCTTACTTGAATTTCGAAGATTGCAAAGAAAGTCATTGGTTAATTCGTAAAGTGTTTGAAAATTAATGATTGAAACTCTAATAAAAGGTCGAGCAGTATCCGTTGAGGGAGTGGGTGGGGCTTGAAGTTAACCACTACAGGTTCTTCAAAATGGCTTGCAATTGATTGTTTGAGATGGATCACTTTTAGATCCCTTTGAACCTATGCTAGAAAACAACGCAAAGCCAACACAGTATCGTGCATTCATTAATGTTACGATTAAATTAACGTTACACTCTCAATAAAACCTTTTCCAAAAATGTTTCAGAACACATTACAAATTGACAGAAAATTACATTTTTAATTCAAACTCAAATAATTTAAAAGTTACTATGACGAAAAAGTTTTATCAGACGAATTTAGAACAAAACATTGTTTTGCTGGCAGATAATTTCATTCTTTTCTTTTGGAACATCGTAATCCATAAAAAGATGACGGTTATTAACAGCATAAAGATAGATTCAGCTAGCATGTGTATCAAACAGTGTTTTACTTACAATTTTATTTGTCCATGGGAAGAGCGCGCCAAGGAAGTACGTCCCAACTATTGGTCCGCCACAAGCTCCCATCAGGGCTAAGGCTGTCTGTGGAAACAAGTTTCAAATAGCATACGTAAGCATTGGGGTTGTTGGTTTGTTGTTTCACACCGCATTCAGCAATATTCCAGCTATATGGCGACGGTCTGTACATAATCGAGTCTGAACCAGACAATCCAGTGATCAGCAGCATGAGCAACGATCTACACAATTGGGATACGATGACATGTGTCAACCAAGTCAGCGAATCTGACCACCCGATCCCGTTAGTCACCTTTTACGACAAGCACGGGTAACCCGGACCTTCACGGGTAGCATACGTTAGTAGGGAAACAGAGACTTGACAAAAAGCATTGTCATTATATTAGTATGAATATATATTGTCGTATCGTTTGCCTTCGGGCATAAGGGGCAGTAGGGTAGGCTACTGGTTAAAGTCTTAGCTCGTCACGTTGAAGACTTTGTTCGATTCCCCGCATGGTTAGAAAATGTAGCTTATTTTTGGTGTCCCCCGCTGTTATATTGCTGGAATATTGCTAAAGAGGGCGTAAACAATATACAAGTTTAACAAATTCAATAATCAACGGATGGAGTAAGACATACCTGTATGATTGTACCTGGCAAATCTTTTAACAGGAAAGCCAAACCTATACAGACGCCACCGTAAAACCACACTGAAAAGTAAATTCTTGTTCAGGCGTTTTCCTTCAAAGACTTTTTAAGGATATTTGACGTCGGATCTCACTAAATTAAGCGATCTATACTGAGGGACGAAAGAAACAACACCCCGCAGTTGACTTTATGACGCGTGTTATTTTCAGCTGAAAATATCTAAAGTAACAAATTCAACTAAACTCTCCGTCAACACTTAAGCATACTTGTACATGGTTTAAAATTTGTTTGATATTTAAGCTTAAAATATCAAATTTCCATAATCCACAACTGCGATCGGTACCATTTCGGTGAGAGCTGATAGATTTTGGGACAAATTGTCACTATTTCAAACATGGTTATGTGGCCTTCATTTAGGTAGTATATATTTC